ATATATATATATTTACATACACACACACATACATATATATATGAGTGTGTGTGTGTGTGTGTGTGCGTGTGTGTTAGGCTCTCGTGGTCTAAAGGTACGGTGTTTGCCTCTCATTCAATAGGCCCTAGGTTCGAAACCTGACAGAGATGGAAATTTTTCTTCTCTAAAATGTTCTCCTTCCACCGCATTTACTTTACTGCTCTCTAATCATGTTGCCATCTGCTTTCATCTCCACTTTCTGATACCCCCCCCCCCCCCTTTTCGGTCCGCCTCTGAGCTCCTGGCTCTTTCTGTTCTCCTGGCTCCTTACCACTGTCGTTCAGTCCCACCCCTGATCTTAGGATAGGTAACATTTTACACCTAACCTTCTCGGATAAAGGTGAAAAAAATCTCGGAAGTCCCGTGCAAGTCCCTAGGACTTGGTTGTCCTAAAATCGATACGAATAGGCTTTCGCCGCCACTCGGGAAATATTCAAAATTAATTTCTATCAAACTGAAATTACTTCGTGCGTCCGGCGCGCTCATATTAATCAGACCTTATGCAGTTGCAAGTACTTAAAGTTAAAATACTAAACAATTCCTTTTTTTTTTACATCTTACATTACTTAAAAGCTTTGGAAGAAATTGATACCCTCACAATTTCTGCTCTATGACTGTGCCCGTGTTCCCATTAACTCTCCACATGTTTCCAGGGGGGGGGGGGAGCTACCATACGAAAGCACTGGGAGATGCCACTATAGACTTTTGGCTGGCACTGAGCTCAGTAACCAGTAGAGGCAGAGGCAAAGATTCTCCACTTGTGGAGAATCTTTGGTAGAAGTATATTAGAGGACAGAAAGAAAAGAAAAACCTTAAAACCATGAAAGATATTTATTTATTATATAATTTCCATCGAATTTGATCATCATACAAAGGCCAACAACTAACTTGAGAAAAACTGACAGTAAATAAGACTATAATAAAGGTAGGTAGATAAAATTTTTATCATTTTCAAACACACAACACTTCACTCACAAAAATACAAAATTCACAAAAGGTAAAATAGGGAATTTCAAGAGTACCGAGGTTTATTTGAAAATTGCAAAAATTTTGGAGTCAATGGGAATAAAATTCATATTTTGCTGACAAGGAAACTGTATAACATCTCAAAAGAATCACTTTCATAAAACTGGATACATTAAAACTTCGTATACCTATAAGAGCAAAAAGGCTGAACTGGAATGTATATCTTTTTTTCACAACTGATGGTGATAGTTGACAGGCACACCAATAATCAGAAACGTCATAAAATTTGGAGGATTTTTCCTAAATACTATAAGGTAGCATTTCAACATCAACTTCACAAAAGTATGACAAGGTTTCGAAAGTTATATGCTTTCAAAGGCATTGAATAACATGCATTTCTTTCTAAGAATACAGATACAAGCTCCACATGAAACTCAAGAAGATTCTGCCATAAATTAATATAACTCGGTGGATATACAAAATTCATCCTGTATAGGATGATAATTTTTCACTTTTTCTTAAGCAGAACTATTAACCTGAATAATCAAAAGCAAAAAATTTTCTTATTTCTGAACATTATTTCGCATAACGTAAAGCACATTAACTTTCAAATCAATCTACAGCAAATCGCAATTTATACTTTACTTATTATAATTCAAAATACTATTCTTCAATTATAGTAAATATAGGTTTACTCCACATTTTTGTCTGGCATTTGCAAAATGAATACAAACAATGTAAACGAAAGATAGTTTTTGCTATAACTAAAAATAGTAACCCACAAAATGTCCAGAGACAAAAACGCAAAATAATCAATTATGATGCATACTAAACATAGTAGATGCTGGTACAATTTTGTTACCATGCACAAGTAAGTACAGAAAAATAATAACTCACTTTCCATCATCAAATCTCATAAAGTAATAGTTCATTTTGACTTAAATGGGGTGGACAGCCAATGATAAATAGTCCAGAAATTGAATATTTCCAGGCTTATAAAATACTAATAGAGACAAGTAAAGGTAAGCAATGGCCCCTGTAGATGAATATTATATCAAAAATGTTCGGCAAAGCAATAAAAAAAAAGCTATCAGCCCAGGAGTCCAAACCCTTGCAAAAACATGTGCTGAATTTTCTACACTAATTCAACATACAATAACCTTTCCCCTCACCACGAGTAGTCTTTAAATTGTTATGTCCAATTATAGGATTCCTGCCACCATCACAGTAACAGCAGCCCAACTGACTTACATCACAAAAAGCATACACCTTCATCAACCCATACAATCTTAATAATTTCTATTTACAAATATAACACTCATAAACATCATTAACCTGTCCTTTGCATGGTGGATTATTAAAAATTTTGATTGGACACAGTTCTGTCCGAAAACAAAGCCTCATGCCTTGAGTTTACCTTGTCACATGTAAAGTACAGTCACATGTTAAGTTGTTCTCTTTCTTTTTGAGGTACCATAAAAAGCATACACTTTGCAGGAAAAGAGGAAAAGCACTTGGAGTCCCTTGCTCAACCATCATTTTTAATGTCTCATATCCCATATATCAGGCCAGAAAGACCACTTCACCAAATTTGTTGGATGTGTAGAGGCAACTTAATCTGAATTCTAAACTGATTATTGTTCTGAACAGATGTCAGTTCTACAGTTCCCAAATCTTTCTCTCTGAAGCATGCTTAAATGGTGTTAAAAGAGCAATCATGACTGAAGACTACTTACTCTGTGTTTATCTTTTGGCTATAATGATAACAATGCCTATGAGATTCCTGTAACTCTTTGACTCATAGTCCCTGACAAAATTAGAAATGTTTGACCAGATTGACTTTACAAGCTGTACGCTTTGACCAAGGCAGCTTATGACCATTACATAACTGATCCAATGCCATTGCTTTCATTGAGGCGCATAAACATCATTCTTGCTGTAAAAATCGCTCACTTAACCTTTTTAACTCCACCCAGTCAAGCTGATCAGACTTCATGAACAAGTGAATAGACAACCCTGCTTTAGCAGAATTTTGTTTTTAAAACTGGCACCATGATAAAAGTAAAAGCAAGGTCAAAAGATAACTAAGTTGACAAACAAACGCAAAATAGTTTAGAGTAACAAATTTGCAAACATATCCCCAAAAAAGTATTCTTTCCAATAAACTATAGCCAAAGGAGAAGAAAAATAGAGAACTTGTTATGACCAGCAAAACAAGAAAAGATAAAGCTTGAACACACCATTATATTGAAGCTTTTGCGTTTCAAAACATAAAGAATAAAGACATTCCAACAGAAAGGAACATGCTTCCCTTCGACTTCTTTTACAATAACACAGCAGCAAAAACAAGAAATTAACACAAGTAAAAAGAAGCACAATAATACACTGGTAGCAATAAAGCCAACTAAAACATAATTTTGATTACTTTTAACTTACCTGAGACAAATTCTCACTAAAAACATAAAAACTCATTGTATATGAATCTTCTCTTTGTGAAGACAAACCTGAGATACTAACAAGAAATCCTTCATTAATGAAATTTAGCATCACCACCACACGAGCAAAATTTTTTAATGAATTCCTACCAAAACTGAAAATATTCAGGGGAGTATAAAACTATATAGAAATTTTTAAATATCTATTTTAGAAGCAGTGTTTGAGATAACTGCGCATTTCATTGGATAGGGTACAAAGATATATTTCAAGAAAACTCACTACCAAGTTTTTTTTAACACATTACACCACAAAGACACCAAAATGACAGCCAGTGTAAGGATGCATAAGAAGCAGGATTCGCTTGCACCTAGAGTTATTCAAGCACACTGCTATTTTAACTATTTACGGTGCAGGGAAAGTCCTAGAAAACATTTTGGTATAAAACATGACGAGGTTCAACTTCATTTGAAGTGCAGAGCTGGGAAAGCAGAGACAGAACCCAAGCATTGTTTTAGTCACTTGTAAAAGACATTTTCAATGTCTTAACTCTTTATCTCCGACAAGCCGCTGACAGTAGCTCCGGCACATTCCTTTACGACGACTTCAACATCAAATTACTTTTGGGCAATAGCCGAAAATAAATCTTTTATCGGGAGTTCAAACTTTATATGAAGAACTATCAAAATAGGTTGACTTGTTTTGATTTAATGACCCATTTAGTGACGTTTTTGTCATTTCTAGATTTAGCACTAACAAAGGGGCCCAGCATAGTGGGTTTACCTCCTCGGAGATAAAGAGTCAAGAATACCCGGTCATCAAAATGATTCCTAATAAAATGCTTGAAAGTCAGATAAATGAAAACCCTTTTAAATTCTGGTTCAGAATCGGTAGAACTATTTTATTTTTCCAATCAAAACGTGTTTTAGAAATAACATTGATTTTTCTACCTTTTCAGCCTAAAGCTTGAAACAATATGGCCCAACTTTTCGCCCCTTTCACAAGGCGTGCACTCATATTTTCGATTTTAAAATATCAGACATTAAACAGACCATGATCTGACACTCTTACTAGTTTTATCACTCTTACATACATTTTAATTCACCCTCCCTTCTCTCCATGTTCCTACACTGTACACAGCTACCTGTTAGAAATGATCCAAAATGCAGGTCACGTCCACATATAATAATGTAGGATGGAATGCTGTACACATACAGGACTCTCTCAATTTATTTCTACCTCTTGACCAACGTTTCATTTTATTAAACCTAGTTCTGACTGACTTGACTCAACTGAAGGGAGACGTTCATGCAGCACTTCAGTCAAGATACGACGGACACAGAGCCAGTGTTAGACTCTTGAAATTTGGACTTACTCTTACCACGACGAGCGCCGTAAAACCCCATACTAAACTTACTCTTACCACTGCGCTATATCTTATAAGCAGTTTCTTCTCTGCAGCAAATCATATAACGTCTTCTAAATGGATTTGGACTTCTTTGTCAGTTCCAAAATCCATAAAAGAAAAAAAAAGGAAGAAAAGGACCATAAAAAAAAAAAAAAATATTAAGTCTTCTTAATTCAAATTCCATAGTCATCACCCTTGTTCCAACTCGCTGTTATAAAGACCCATCCTCTGAACTTAACACAAACTGCTTATGGTATGACGTTTTGTAAAATATGTTCAATACTAAGCTCACCATTCTGAACTTAAACAAAAAAATACAGCACTCTATACATATCATGTTTAACAGATTGTTCAATACAAAATAAAATTTTAAAAACCAATCCGCTACTGTTGGTAACTGTGGGTTGTGACACTGAATAAAAATAAGTACCAGGAAACAATATTATTATACATTGTATATCCAATTATTAAAGGGAGGGGAAATAATAAGTTGAATTATCAGCTGCATACATGTCCAGCAATGACAGATAGTGAACGAAAGGAGATTTTTTCTTCATTCAGGAAAAATGTGAATTTATAGTATGACCGTTAAGGAGCTTTTCTTTTTAAAAAAAGGACACAGTGACCATTTATAAAGAACTCAGATCGATTTTGTTTTCACAGTACCAGATAAAAAGGTAATTAATAAATAGTGCTTTAACTTTAATGTAAAAGAGATTATTGCAATACAGGTGTAAACTTATTAAGAGTAAAAATTCTGAAAATATCCACATAAACATATCTATGACAGATGAAAAGACAATAATGAATACCTTAAAAAATGAAGCTCTATACAACTTCTTAACATTATTATAACTTGAATGCAAAAAAGAATTACCATTAAAGTTTCAATAGAAAGGAGTGACCCAGTAGGGAGGAAAGTCCTAATTTAAAAAGAAAACCATGAATGTAAATGTTTTACGTCGCCATTCAAACAATGTAGATTATTAAGGAGACGGGCTACTTCAACCTAGCCTGTCAGGGCCAACCCAGAACGAGTGGGATACAGCATCCCAGCAAACAGGACTAATGTATTTCTATTTGATATTTTAAAAATTTCCCCACCCAGAAGCCAACCTACCAAAGAGCCCAATTACCCCACAGATGACGCTGAAAAGCATTTCGTTTTGTTGGGGTATTTTTACCCACATAAACCACCGAAAACAAACAACATTCACAAAGATAACAAACATGCCACTCAGATATGGCTAGAGCGTTACAAACAGGCAAGATAATAATAATATACTATGGTTAAATATTAATAAAAAGGCCACGAGGGAAACAAAATCAGCAAGTTGCAGTGAGTAGCTGCACAGCAGCACGTCCATAAGAAACAACAACAATTTCCCTGAAGAAGCCGGGGAGAAAAGTAACATCATAAATGTATTTGCGCGGTATCATAAGAAGACAAAAATATTTTTGTTCTAGCGAAGCTAGGGCTTAAAGTACTTAGTTATAGTAACATATCCCCCTGAAGGCTCGCATGACTTTGCAATAGTATGCTGTACACACCCAGCTTAGTCATTATCACATGACATCATTACATTGTCCTATGTAAGGGAATGAAAAAACATCCCGACTAAAAAACACTGCAGCAAAGGCAACTCAACAAAACAGCTGTATGACTGGTATTTTTTAAAAATAAGTAAACCTTTCTTTACCAGTTTATCCTCATTTCAAATGATATATATCTACAAGGCCCAGATTTTGCCGACAGCCTTATATACATTTCAGTCCTTCCCACCCAACATTGTAACACTCACTCCTTTGTGATCGTTAAAAAGGAGGCAGGAATGGGAAAAACTCTACCTTGATGTAGACAAAGGAAAAGATGAACAAATTCATAGCAGTTTAATTTCAGTGAACTTGATTGCCTGCTCCACGGGACAAAACAGGTACTGTATGTCAAACTCAAGACTTGTGACCATGCTATGGAGTCGACTTACACAAAATCCAAGAGTGATCTTCCTTTACAAAAAAATAAACTCAAAATACTTACTTAATATATTTGCACCATTTTAATCCTTCTACTGGAATACTCAATATATTGATTTATAATATCATAAAACAACATAAAAAAAAGAAAATCTGAGATTTTTCCTTTAAATTCAAACAATAAATTCTGCGTCAGAGTATATGGCATTATAAATAAAAATAGGACTCTCAAACTTAAATTGCATTAACCATGAGTGCTGGCTACACAATCCAAACTTCTTTAATTAGACTAACAGTTAATAAAACGGACAATTATCGAGTTTTTCCCAAAGGTTAACACAAATAAGTACAGAAACTACCATACAGAAAAAAAACATGAAAGTTATGAACATTCCACATCCCAGAAGTTTCTGGAAAAGAGTCCTCGCTTAAACTTGTATAGTTTGACAGTCCATTTCTGAGATAGGAAAAGTCAGCGAAGACCTTCAAGAAGAATCCAGACCTGCTACGGGTGACTACCACTTCAGCATTTGTTCCTTGACCTGGAAAACCAAAGCCTTGGCAACACAGATTACGAAAGCCTGCAACACAGAAAAAAAGGAAAATTGAGAGTTGACAACAGTTGTCAATGCAGAAAAACACCTTACACATGGGTATCATTATATTTGGTTCATACATTATTTACCAAATTTTTTGTTTTCTGATTACAAGGAAAATCCAGAATAAAATTTCATCAGTGACTTTACAATAATCATCATTACAGAAATACACACTACACTTAACTACTTCATACTGTTATACTGTCTAGCACGCACAAAGCAAAATTGGCAGAAATGTTGTTTTTTATGTACCAACTTCACTATATAAGGGTTCTAAATAGAAAGAATATATGTATATAAGATAAGTTTGAGACCAGAAAATCTAACGATTATCTGAGTGTTTCGCTTTGTGTATACATGCTAGACTGTACAAATGTCAATGAACATCAAGAATCTGACAGGGTTGTAGGTGGGAATTCATAATATGTCATCTACTCCTTTCACTAAATTTCCAGAGTTATAACTGCCCTTGCCAACACCCAGGTAAATAGTGCCTGCAATGTGTGCTGATGCGACATAAACTACAACCCAAAACATCAACAAACCCAAAAGTAATGTAGAGTACAAGGTTACTTATAATTACGAAAAAAACAAAGTCTCATTTTCCATTCCCAAAGATTTTTTTAAAAAGTATATATTTGATTCTGGTGCAGTTTATACTTAATGGAGTAGTCGTTTAAGATGAATTGACTCCACCAGTTGTAGCATTTCTTAAGAAAGCAAACCAGGGGAAAAGCACCAATGAAAAGAAATAGGGAGAAAGTGAGAGTAAACCACCTTATCATTATAGGAATACCTTCTGTTCAATATCTAAAAGGATTGAAATATTTTGAAAGCTGGATATTCGTCGTCTTTTGTTTTAGTAAAAGTTTTACAGCACTTGTAATACAATTATATCATATAAGCACCGAAGATTACAGGTGTTACAAGAAAGTAACAAACACATAAAAGAAGGAGGAGAGATAAAGATGACAGATTTCTTTTATAGAAAAGAAGGAGCAAACTCCTCCAGAGCACCGGCAACCACCAACACTCTATACTCTGAAAACAAGGAAATACCTCAGACAAAATAACACATAATGTCAATTGTCTTCAAGTTCTGACAGGGAGTACCAAATTCATTGCCATTCTCTCCTTTCTTGAAATCAATACCTTAAGTCATAAGTCACCAACACAAAAATCCCCACACCCTCAGAAGATAATTTCCATCAAGACACTTCTCAAAACACTGATCTGGGTGACTTGATCACATGAGACTTTTACATAACCACAGAAAGGAATATGAACCCTTACAATCCAAAACAAAAAAAATCATAGACATAAGAACAGTGTAGAAAACATTTGCCAATTTGTCCCTGCTAAAGCCATAAACAAAAAAGAGAACATTTTAAAAAGGCAGTGCATATTGTCAATGCTAACAGAATTGCTAATTCTCAAAACGTTTTTTTATCTTCCATATACTCAATTAACTCACCAAGAAACCAGTCCCTAGCAATCAGTAGAAAGTAACACGAAGAAAGAAAACAATATTTATATTTAAGAGATAGAAACGTTGTCAATCTACACAGAAAATCAATAGAAACATACTGATCAATGAAGGGCGACACTTGAAAAGTCAAGCATTTCCATCAAAGAATGATACCAGAAAACAAAATATCACTGTACTTCTATGCCACAGAAAAAAAATACTTACCTGTGGTAAGAGAACACCGAAGATGACTCCCCCATAGATCCAGATGTTATCTTTTATCACGTTTTCGAGACCCTTGAGACAACCTTGAGTATAAATCTTTCTCTGTAAAAAGAAATAATACATACTTTAGACACCAATTCAACCAGTAACAAAACAAAGAGGATGAAAGAAAAAGACACAGAAAGAACAAAAAAGAAGAGAAAAACAATTTGAACCTATTCCAGGCAGGATCTCATAATATTGCTGACATTATTTTGCGGAAATAAGTACTCGTACAAGAGAAACACAGTGCGTAAGTGGGGTTTTGGGGGGGGTTTTTTTAGTAGAGGTTTTACGGCGCTCACAACTGCATAAAAGGTCATATGAGCACCAAGGGGTGGATGTCAACAGAGAAGTCCTTACAGGGAATTAGACTTGCTCTTTGCACCTCTCTACTTCAACAGCTTCGTCTATCAAGGCACCCCAGAAATAGCGGGTCACAGGAGTGTGATAAACATACAAAAGAAGTAGATAAGAGGAAAGGATGATAGTAAAGATTAGGCAAGAAAAAGCAGCAGTTCCCTGTTGTAGTTCAGGCACAGTTATGAGCATGACATTGTTGGATTAGCCCATTCACAATTCTACTGTGCATTAGAATGAGAAATGTCCCCCTTTTGGGAATGGCCTAAAGACATTTCAGTCAGTTGCACCACCCCGGGAGGTAGTGTGTGAATGTGTGTCTGTGTCAGTGAAAGGTGCAGGGTGGGAGGTGGGGCAAAGACAATCTACTACAAAGTCGAGGCAAGCAAAATTTCATAGTAACCAGGCCAGAAATTCAAAAGCCAGCAAAGACGAAAGATGTTTGTATTTGGCCCCTCTTTAAATGACTTTGTTTAGTTGTGTGCTCATTATTATAGGCAGTCTCATTATTTCTCTCTAGTTAAAAGAAAGCATTTCTAGAATACAACACAGTTCAATCTAAAGCCAGACAGTCCAATTTCACAGGCACTCTACTCAAAAACATGAAACTTTTGTGTGTCTCTCTAAAGAATCTAACACAATTCAGCAAGACTCTATCTCTACCCCTTGTGCACCAGAACATAACCAGTAGTCTCTTCATAAATAGCAGTATCTATAGCAATAAAAAGAAATTGCTATGCCAGCAAGTTTTCCCATAACTGCCTCCTAACCTTTCTCGACACACTTGCACTAAAACCCTTCTGGCATTAATTGGGTCACTGGAAGGGGTGCTGTATCTGGACCAAGTGGACAGACAACAGTCCAGAGGGACTGATCGTTGTACAAAAGTAAATGGCAGTTTAGTTAATATTAGTAAGAGTTTTACAGCAATTGCAACAAAATAAGGTAATTATAAGTGCCAAAGATTAGAGGTGTTACAAGCGAGTAACAAACACAAAAAAGGGGGAGAGATAAGGACTATAGATGTTTGGTAGGAAAGAAAGACCAAACCACACCAGAGCACCCGTGAACCACCCACAGAAAATGGCAAAGTAGCTCAGCTTCAATAATTTTCACTGGAAAAGGAAAGCAAGATCAGGATTCTAATCGCTATTCATTCTAAAATTTCATAACAAGTTAGGAAAATTTTCTATAAATACTCATTGGGAAACTTCATTGTCTCCCGAGCCTTGAGTTAAGGTAGAAAGTAAGTAACAACAACAACAAAAAAGTTTGTGTTGATGAATGCTCATAGTGTGGTATGCTGTGTGACCTGCTCATAAAGACCTATGTTTTAGGAGTCAGCAGGGTTAAGAAGTACCATGAAACTACTGATGTTTTCCTTTTATTACAGATTACCTCTCGATCCAGAGCATTATCCTTCAGCATGCCAGCTCCACACTGGTAATTGATTTGATCTCCCTGCCGAAACAAAAGCAATAATGAAACAACAAATAGGTTCGCTGAACATCAGCATGAATTTGAACAGCTATGCTGAAATGAACACATGTCATCCCTGCAGGATGCAGGGTTAAACAGGTAACTTGGTTTCTGTAAATTTTACAGGAGAGTGAAAAAAACTGAAAAGCAAGGTCATTATGATACACATTCCAGCTGTTTAGCATCCAACGTTGTAGCAACTAGTTGAATAGGTTAATCCGCCTGAAAGTTATCAATCGGGATGTGTTGTGTGATGTCGGTCAGAATTGAAGGTAAAAAACAAAAACTGCATTTTCAGAGTTAGCTGTTTAGAATCCTGCAGCCACGATGTGAATTACTTTCATGCCACAGTGAGAAAAGAGCTATTTCCATGTAGAATGAGAGAAGACATTCTCTACTGGGAAGCCAGCATGGCACATTATTGATCTCTTGACCTGGCTCACACTGGCTCAGGGGCCTTGAGAAATCAGTGAACTTTATCAATAACAAAACCAAATAGGATGACAACATTTGCTACACTGAACAAAAACAAAGATAAAGATTTCATTAGGCCAAAATGAAGAAAGAATGGTTGACCTAAAAAAAGGTAGCTTGAGCGATGAGTTAACTTTAACAGGTGGTCACCTTGGAAAGTTCAGCTAAATCCCAAAAAGGATCACTACCAACAGCATTTTATATAAATTATATATATATATATTGCTCATCAACATAGGTAGGTTTAAACACTTACACCAGAAATTCTGCAACATGAAAATGGAACAGAGCAGGCTTCCGGGCTGAAGTTGTCGTCCGAACATTGAAAGTAAAGATTTTTATTCCAGTCCTTGTAGCCTTCGTCATCTTTACTGACTCCACAACACGACAGCTAGTACAATGGGAAAAAAATGTAGTATGTCAATATATTTTTTATATTTGAAACAGCAGAATTGGCAAATGATATTGTAGAGTCTACAATGAAGACATCGGAGTCTAATTACCTACAGCTCCAGCTCAAAACTGACCATCAATTCATGTACATGATCTCAGTTTACATTGGCAGCAGCCCTAGAAAACACATTTTACTGTAACAGCAGCAGTGAGGTCAAATAGCTTTTATTTTAATCATTATTTAATGTAACTGGTCAACTTTTGTCTGCTATTCTTCTTGTGAAGCTCACAGACATCTATCAACCAACTGACCGACTGACTGACCATCCAACCGACCTACCTATCTATCTATGAAAATGTGCGATGCACCAGGTACATGAGTAAGAACAACAAGCACACAGACTTACATTATTATAGTAATAAAAGGGAGAAAGTATTCAAAGCCAGCCAGATCTAAAATCAATAGATATTTAAACTTTGATCCCAAACCAGTACATCCTGCATTTGACACAAAAGTCAACCTCAGAGAAGAAAGCAAAATTTGATCTCCTCTGCCCCTCGTCCCCAGTCCCCCTTTCACTAAAAATATGATAGCAAGGCGAAATTCACAAAATAAAATATACTGGTCAAAAAAAGATATTTGAAGTAGACGAATATTCACCTCTACTGTGCATTTTCAATATACAGATGAAATTGTCTCAGATGGCCATCCATTGTCGAGGACAACAGTGGTTGTCTTAGACAGGTGGTTGTCTTGGACAAGTGGCCATTAGAGCAGGTTTGACTGTACTTCATTCAAGTTTTCAAGCAGGTACACTATTAATATTGCAATGTTACCCGCAGTATTAAAACCTTTTAAAAATGTTTATTATTCGCATTTCATCGGAAGCGACATCACTTTTTAACAGTAAAAAAAAACATAACAAAGGTTTTGTTGACTACACCTTTTATAACTCTTTTAACTATTTTTTTATCAGTATTCTTTTTGAATTCGACCCTCACCAGTTCTTGAATATTATCTATCAATCCTTGCATATCAGGGTCATCTCTGTACTTGACAACTGCATCTTCAAGGGCATCTTCGGGATACAACCCAATGTCAGCAAACGCATCGTCCACAAAGTAGAACACAAACACCAGAACAATGAGGAGCACCTCCAGCAGGAGACAAATGGCCATAGAAATGGAAAACTGAAATGCAAAACGCAAAAAATAAAAAGATAAAGATATATCATATATAAACATATTTCCCCATTGTAACAAAAGTTTATTTTCAGTTTTAATGAGAGTTTTACAGCTCTTGAATTACAAATAGGTCATAATTAAAAGTGATGAAGATTAGAGTTGTTACTACAGCATAGCTTACAAAGAAAAGGAGGAGAGTTAAGGACAAAAGATGTTTGACAGGAAAAAAAGGTGTAAACCATACCAGAGCCCCGCCAGCCACCCACTCATCATAAGTAAGAGAAAAAAGAGCCTAAAAAGAAGACATGTTAACAAATTTGAGTCATTTTAAATTCAAATTTTCCAGCTTTAACTCACTGACTGCCGACAGTTTTTGGCTAGGACAAGCAAGGACTGCCGGATATCTTGACTAGTGTGCAAAACAATCATTGGCGTTTTCTTTGGTCAACTGGTCTGAAAATTTTGAAAGCATGTTTTCAAAACTGAAAGCTGCATGATGTTGGAAAAGTAGTTAACACATAGTTGTTCAACAGTCTTCTCGGAAAAAAATTTGTGAACAAATGAGAAATTTTGACTAAAATAGAACAAAAACTCCTCCACCTCCTTAACTGTCTTCACTACTAAATCTATATTCACTTGATTTATTATTACTATCATATTCCCAGTCACAGTTATCACTTTTAAAGTCTATTAGATCCTTCATCACAATATGGAGATAACACTTCAAAAACATTACGTCTATTCTACATTCTTTTTGATGCCTCACTTCATAGCTTTCAGAGTCTAACACGAATTAACTCAGAATGGTAAGTCAGAACTGATCCATTGCTATATACTGCAAAAGATGGAATTCTTTTGACAGAAAAAAGTAATTGATAACTCTAACAACCAGAACTAGTTACGCTGTAAGGTCGGCAGGTCTTCCCTACAGACTGCCAGGCCCGACAGATGTCGAGTTAAGTACGAATAAATAGGAAAGTCAGAACAGGCGATGGTCGGGTCTGTAACCTACCGTCGATGACACAATTCCAACACCAGTCGAGGTCGGCAGTCAGAAAGTTAATGATATCTCACCCATATATGACAAAAATACAGTTAGTTCAAAATTCCCTTTGAATGAGCTGCTGAATCAATTTAAGCGATATTACCATTAAAGAACTTTTACAATACCAAATTAATATTTCCATCACGTTTGTACAGACGTACCACTTGAAGGCAGCAAATATTTTCTCTCAGAGAGCCATAAGCCCCGAAGAAGGTAATGAAAGTAATAATCGATCCTCCAAGGCTCAGGACAAGACACGCTGGGTCAAACAGGAAATCAATCCAGTTGGAAACTGTCTTTTCCTTTACGACAAGTATGTAAATCCCAAGTACCAGCATACCAAGGCCAAGCAGCTGAAAAGTAATAATAGGATAATAATATCAGTCAAAACAAATATAAATAATTCAAGGCGTGCGAACAAGACGGCATCTTAATCCAAACTTCTTAATCTGCACTGAGTTATAATTGAAATTTTTAAATAGAGCTGACTGTCCAACACCCTTGGTGTAATCAGTCAACCAATTCCACCCCTCCCCTATGTGTAACAATAGTAACAACGATTCGACAAACTTTTTTCACAGCCAGTCATATAATCAGGCTGGCATGTATTATAAAGATATGGTATGGATGGGGTAACAGCTACCCTCAAACCTCAACCCACCTTCCTCGCCTGGTGACAAGGCGTAAAGGTTAGAGCCGACAGAACTGAACTTGGGAGTTAAAATTTTGTTTCAAATCAGAGCGGGTAAAGTCTTATCATTTTCCGTCTTGGACAGGACAAAACCCTTCCAAAGGAAGTAATTTCTCTCTTCTATTTCTGGGTTGAGAAATCGTTGCTGTCGTGCACAAACCTTCTAAGCGACAACATTTTCAAAATTTACTTTTTTGGCATATATATATAAGTTTCTGTATAACATTATACAGTATGTCCCAGTCAAACAATATTTGACACAGGTGAAGAATAAGTATTGAAACAAAAATGAAAAAACCTCCTGTCCTATCTCCAACTGGGCGAAAGCCGTTGGGCACATAACCCGTAAACACCAGCGAGGCCCATAGGGATTTTGGGCCCAGCCTGCTCAGCCGTTGCATCGGGTCACTTACGTTGGGTAAACAGTAGACCCAAAAATATCCAGTGTAATGCCTGACGGTCCATCTTCGCAACCGTATCGCTAGTGTCGGGTCCTTTTTTTTTTTCATAGTAGATCTAGATCAAAGGTGATAGTTTCTTTAGAAAATCCACAATGTTGCCCATTGTGAATGGACAGATTAAATACTTACAAGGTTATTCACACTTAAGGCCTTCCTGTTCTCATAAGAACCAACAATGTTGTTCACACTTCAAACTGAATTGCGGCCTTTTCTCCTCACTTTCCAAGGTCAGTATTAGAATTTCAATGCTAGGAGCATCAAAATTAAAATGCCATGCCCCATTAAACATCAGAATATCTTCTTTTTTGGGTGGTAACAGTTTTACAGTGCTTGCAACTGCATAAAGTCATATGAGCCTGTGGGACACACCAAACATTTTCAGTTTGTAGGAAATTTTGCGCGAGTGGTGGCCGAAGCCTACTCTATCAATTTTAGACTACCAAGGGATATTTGACGAGCCAACTTGCACACAGGACATCCGAGATTTTTCACCGTAGTCCGAGAAGGCTAGGTGTAGATCTTTCCTACCAAAAGATCGGGGGGGGGGCTTAAAGACAGCTAGCTGAAAGAGGAAACCAAGGAGTAGCTGTAGAAAAGCAGCAGAAAGAGTTAGGAGTCCAGAGGAGGGGGCAAAGGAGGTGGGGGAAAAAAATGGAGACGAAAGCAGACGACAGAACATGGCTAAAAAGCAGAAAAGGGGGTGAAAGGAGACAATTTTAGAGAAGAAAATTTCCCGTCGCAACCCGGATTTGACCAGAGACCTTTGAATGAGAGGCGAACACCTTAATCTCTAGGCCACAAAAAAACCCTCAGAAGATCTTGCATGGACGTGGAAAACAGCCTTTCTGTCTGCACACACCAATCACATGTTAGTGATGAGTAGTGGCTGCATATCCACCTATGGTGAATCGCATTCTGAAGAAATGCCGACCCTGATGAGTTTGTGTAAGGCCATAACGTGCCGACAGGGGAGATGGAAGGCTGTGGAGAAGCCACATGTGCAACTATACGTGACGCTGGAGAATAGCCATCGATCTATTGACCGGCGCGACACCGGAGAATAAACAGCCACTTGCTTTTGTAGTTTATTCAGAAACTCGAGTCTGAATAGTCACTACAAAAGCGCCTGATTTCACAACCCTGCCTCACATATTATTATACTTTTTGTCATGCTGTAACTACTCATGAGTCAAGTCAACAATAATAATACTACCATCAAATTAGAATCTAGTCAGAGTTGAGTTGGCCTCGCTTGCCTAGATCTAGATCTACAGTCAAACCAGCTATGACGGCCACCTGCTTAATATGGCCACCTGTACAGACGGCCACTTTCCATTCACCCCCTTGCGTTTTTCCAACATATATATAATTTATTTAACTGTGTAAAACAGTTACCTGTCAACACAGCCACGGCCACCTTATTTTATCAATCCAGAGCCAAATTTACCTGCCTCAGACGGCCAGGTGTGGTCTCTATAATCGCCCAATGCTCTGTCATAAATTCTAAATCAGCCTCTGATGCTGCGGACGGGCCATCATAATCTATTCACCTGTCATTATTGATTATTGTTAGTCCCTCCAAAGAATTTTTACTGAAGTTGACCAATGGGTAACAATACATTTTCAACTGCTATGAGGTGAGGGAATGTGTGTCCGTCATAAACCTATAAGCCCCGCCCACAACTCATACAAATTGTACATGAAGTGACAGATCACTGTTTTGTTTACCTAATCTGTAACAAAGTAACAATGCCACAGAAGCGTTGTTCCTTCTCCGAGTGGTGGCTACCCAGTACGTGTTTGTTTTACCATGACACTCGATCTTCATCATCTTACATTCGTTATAAATTTTACTCTAGCACAAAATCAGAGGTGCTTTTTAGATAGTTCCCACACCCCTTATCTGAGCCTAGATCTACATCAAGATCTATAAGTTTGATGCGGGCGAGCTAAGACTAACAACTGCAAAACATCAAATTAGCTATGAAAATCGTCTCAAATACAAATATATATATATATATACTTTAGGCATTGCAAACTAAAAATTTATCTTACAATTCAGTAGGCTTATTAAATTTTTTTTTGTCATATAAATTTAGTCTAGCCATCATATATATACGGCTAGCCTCTTCCAATAACAACAACAAGCCCCGGTTTGGACTTCAGAAGGCGAGTATGGTCTACTTTCTTCATTTTGATCAGTCCTGCGCCTAAGATGGCCACCTGTGTTATCGGACACTTTTCTCCATGACAATGGGTGGCCATTTTATACAGGTTCGACTGTGTAGATCTAGAATATATGGCCACCTCTATTCTCATCCCGGGTGAGAAAAGCGCAGGCGAGCCTTTCGGATATTCTCACCCGATGTGCATTCACCGTGATAGCCTAGGCCAACCAGTGTAGCATTCACTGAGAACAAACAATCCAGTGCTCTTATGTTGACGTGCAATTTTGTCTGTGGGCAGTGAGAAAGAAAGAGAGAGAGGGAGAGAGAGAGAGAGAGAGAGAGAGAGAGAGAGGAGTAGCGCGATAACTTACGGGCAAAACAAAATGGTGACCCGTGGCGTGTAGTTCGGCTGGATACGAAAAGTTAGATAGCCGTAGCATCTTTGTAGACCACCAAATTAGAATCTAGATCTAAATCCTATTTATTTACTTTTATGTATAATAATTTTTTATCTGATCTTTGTTTTTGTCAATTTGATCGTCTACGCTGTTTGACAATATTCAGAAAGAGACCGACAGAGAGAGAGAGAGGGAGAGAGAGAGAGGGAGAGAGAGAGAGGAAGGAGTAGACTACCAAATTAGCTTACTTTTGGGTAACTTTTGTGCTATACTTTAACGTCATTTTTTTCTTTGCTTTAGTCAATTCGATCAACATCGATAGGAAAAACAGGTCTTGTTTCATAGCGGGTAAGAAAAGCCAACACTGGCAAGTTTCACCCGGGGTGAGAGGTCGATCGTAATCTTATTCTCACCCCTGGCGGAGGTGAGCATTTTGTTGTCGGAGACTGAGATTCTAATACTTACAAAAAACAGAAAATTGAAGAAAAACAGGAAATATTTGACAAATGGATTGATTTCACTTCTATCAGGTCGATTTGATCTCCTCCGTAGAGAATGTGTGAACTTGTCTCCCAGCATTCCTGGGCCCATTCTGTGATGTCGTTGATGTGCTGATCCCTGCGCGGCCATGTTTACTTCCTGATCATAAGGAATGACTGTATTCGGAGGGGGGCCCACTCTCCTCATAGTGAAAGACAGAAACAGTTCTGTGTCACGCCCCTGTTCCCAAAATAATTTTCTCAGGTCACGCACCCTTCTCGGCACGCACCACAAAAGGGCCCTTATGCCTTGAGGGGTTCAAACGAATAACAAACAGCTGAGCTCCGTGTTTTCGGGTGTTCGCTATTTTAAGAATGTACTTTGTCACATGACGCAAATCTGCCAATCATACTTCTTGTATTTTACATTTTCAGGCAAGTCAGTTCGAAGCCTTCATTCTAAAATACTATAATATAGGACCAATGGTAAATTAATAGCCTAGATCTATCTATTATTTAGACCAAGCTGGTCGACAAGTATTTTTTTTTAAAAGCTTGAAGATGAAATGAAGATCTAGAAATCTAGATTAGATCTAGAAATCTAGATCTAAGCTTATTCCTTTCTTCAATATAATTCTGAGACACAATAATTGTCATACTAGTCTAATTGTCAAAAGCCGATGTCAGTAACTAAAGCACCGTACACGAATTTACATTACAGAGAAGAATTTAAGGGGGATTCATTGAAAGGGAGGGGGGGGACAAACGTGAGAAAATATTTAGAATGAGAAAAGGGAAGAAAATAAACATGAAAAGAGAAAAGATGGTAAGTAAATAGAAAGAGAGAGAGAGATTTTTTTAAAAATAAAAAGGCAAAAGAGGGGGCTTGCGGCTGGTTTTGCCTTTTATTTGCCTGGACCTCACCTCCCTATCCCTTGACTAAATACACCACTGGTTTATTCCATAAAACAAAATATAGGTAATAGATATTGTAAACAAAGTCAAACGAGGAAGAGAAAAAAAGAGGGAGGGGGCTTTCAGTAGAAAAATATTCGTTTTGTTTAAAATAAAAATACTTGTTTTGTAAAGGCCACTTTGTAAACAATTCTCAATTCAATGCTAGCCTAATCTACTTCCGCTCAGTTGTTTAAAAACTCTACTCGCTAGGCTACTTTACTTTCAACTTACTTGCGGCCTACTTTAGGTTATAATTTCTTCGAAGTCGAATCTTACACGGAGAAATTTATCCAAAGATGAACCATGAGCCGGTCCAGACACCAACAGAGCTTATTCAAGCGTCTATACATCTAATACAAAAGCTGAGGACTGGAGTAGGTCAGGTTTTCAAAGATCTGTCGGACGGAATTAGTGAGCATGCTGATGAAAATTCAAGCAAAGAGGAAACCGACTCGACTGCCGCTTCTTCATCAACAAAGGATGCTGCCAAGGACAAAAACAGTACCATATCATCTCAGAACCAGAAAGAAGGCTCAGGAACAGAAAAGTCTGAGGATCAGCAAGAGAAACATCGGGCAATCTTACGAACTCTTAAGCGGTCTTTGGAAACTATAAGTCATGATTTCAGGTGAGCAGCTAGCAATTCTAGCCTTGCTAGTCACATGCGATTAAACGTAGAAAGTAGCAATGCCAATCGCCCACTGCGCCTTGGGCCGGAAATCGGCCTCCGCGCGAGGGGTAATTTTTGGGCCGCTCGGAATCAGAAGTGACTCTCTTCTAAGTATAGTTACGGGAAAACTCCTGGACGAAAATAAATGAAGGCCACCTCTATTCTCACCCGGGATGAGAATAGTGCAGGCTAGTCTTTTGGCTATTCTCACCCAGTGCGCGTTCACTGTTATAGCCTAGATCTAGGCCAACAAATTTTGCGTTCACCCTAAACCACAGAATTCTACACTGTGATAACAGAAAAATTGTAGAATTCTGTGCCGTGAACAAACGTTCCATTACAACTGTAGCCTACTAAAAGCGTACAATTTTGTATGTGGGCAGTGGAGAGAGAGAGAAAGAGACAGAGAGAGGAGTAGCGTGAGAACTTCCGGTAAAAACAAAATGGCGACCCACGTAGTTCGGCTCGATTTGAAAAGTTAAATAGCCGTAGCATCTTTGTAGACAACCAAATTAATTTACTTTTGTGTTTTAACATCATTTTTTAACTTTGTTTTGGTCAATTTGAACGTCCACACCGATAGACAGTATTCAGAAAGAGACAGAGAGAGAGGGGGGAGGAGTAGATCTTGCGAGAACTTCCGGGCAAAACAAAATGGCGACCCGCGTAGTTCGGCTCGATTCGAACAGTGAAATAGCCATAGCATCTTTGAAGACGATCAAATTAGCTTACTTTTGTGCTATAACGTAATTTTTTCTTGGCTTTTATCAATTTGATCATCCACACCGATAGACAGTATTCCAAAATGAGGAAAAGCAGGTCTTGTTTCGCACCGGGTGAGAATAGCCTACGCTGGCAAGTCTCACCCGGGGTGAGAGGTAGATCGTTTTTCTATTCTCACCCCGGAGAACTCGGCAACCAACCAGAGGAAAGGTTAAACTAACGACAAGCCAGCGTACAATCCCGAACGATTACTAGAACTGGAGATATTGCTGTGTTTGTGCGAATTTCCTCTGCGGTTCGAAAACTAAATGGAGCTGCGGGTTGATTGCCGACCACACAAGCGCCCCACATTTCTTCATGCTGTAAAATTTCAGATCTCTACGTTTAGTAGATTTTCGTACCAACTTAAAATTACCACCCATCCATTGATAAAACACTAGATCTGGAAACTAGATCACGCATTCCAAACGCGAGGTGCGGCATGCAAGAGGCGCGTGATCACTACGCGGCATGTGATTGGCTGCATATAACCAAATAATAGGTCACCAATGACTACATCGCGGGTTTTCCCGATAGCGCTTTACTGAGTTTTAGAGGGGGTGATCGCCTCGCGGTAAAAACGATGTCACGCAATTCAACAAATTTCACGCAAATATCAATCTTTAAGATCCAAAGTAATAAAGACATTGAAAAAGTGATAGCAGAACTAGATTCTGCACTAAAAATCACATGGAGATGCCAAGTTTCATTCAATGCTCCAATTCATCTTACTTATGAACAGTTTTTCCTCAAAATACATCAAAACATGTCCCACATTTTGGCGATTTTTCCAAGAATCATATGAAGGTCCTACAACATTTTGCAAACAAAAATCCCAATACAGGGTGTCCTGGTCGTAAAGGTCGTAAATGGTAGTAAATTTGCCTTGAAGGTAGTAAACATTTGGTAAACGGTCGTAAATTAGCCTGCGTACTGAGTGATGAAGCCAGCAAGACTTTTCAGTGAACCCTAGCCGCGGTACATGACTCCGTTTTTACCGGTCGCGATTGTGATATAATTATTCATTCACCTTTTCCCCGTCCGAGAGTACGTTTCATGCAAAAAGCCGGCTATGGCGACGGGTGGAAGTGTACGTGACACCGAGGCTCGATCGGGAAAATCAAGATCTACTTTCGCTTTCGTTACCACCCTGAAATTTGGCGTAGATAAACTGATAACGCAACATTTGTAATATGCAGGTTGTACAGTATACCCGCTTTGTCGCCGTGCAAATAAAATTAATAATTACTCGGACTCTTCACCGTACTGTCACTTGTGGGGGTGGGGGGGGGGGGTGAAAAGAAAATACAAGCTTTGTCCGATTTTTAGATTGTCGGGTTCGCCAGCGTGACAGGTCAGTGAACCTTCGCGCGAGGCACTACAAGGTATGGCATCGGTGAGCACCGGCGTTTGTTGGGGTCACCTAAGTTCATTAAAAAGTCGAGCGTTGCGAAGTATAGGACTACGGAGTAGGGCAGGGATTATTGATTTTTTTTTTTTAAGAGACACTCGGGGGAGGGGGGGGGGCGGATGAAGGCAACACCAGAGGACAAAAACTGTAAGCAAATTTCAGAATTTTGATTAGATTTAGAGCCCTCTGCAAAGCGCGCGTTGGTGCAGGCCATGTGTGGAATCGGGATCCTTCATACCTTGTAAGCCGTGTTATCGAAATAAAGTGTTCGCGTTTCATTTGTTGGGTGATAGTAAATTAGAACAATAGTGTAGCTTTCTGTTCAAGACTGGCAGATTTTCAGTGTCACTGCCTCTTGCCCTCTCACAGTTCTTACACCTCTCACGCTGAATAGGTTTACTCGAGTCATTACGTGTGTGTGTGCGCGCGTTGTTGTTGTGTAACTGGCCCTAGAAAATGGAGAAGCCGGTTTTTCAGTCACCTTGTGTATACACATTAGGTATAAATCTACCCCCCCTCCCCCTCCCACCTCCACCAGGGCAGTGCTACTGACTGAAACGTCTTTAGGCCATTCCCAAAGGGAGGATATTACCATGTTCTTATGCACAGTAGAATTGTAAATGGGCTGATTTATCAATGTCATGCTCATACTGTGCTGGACCAGCGTAGGGGGAACTGCTGCCTTTTCTGTCCTCTTCTTTACTATCATCATTTTCCTCTACTTCTTTTGTATGTTTGTCACGCTTGTGAACTACTTTTTCCGGGGTGCCTTGATAGTCGAAGCTAGATTCCCTGTTTGGACTTCTCCTGTTGACATCCACCCCTTGTCGCTCATATCACCTATGCAGTTGCGAGCGCCATAAAAACCTTACTAAAACTAAATCTAGCTGCAAGCAAGCTTGCGATCGTCTGTCTATCCTCCATTTTGTGGACTGGACTTTGTTGTGTGTTCTTTTCGTTCCATATGTTATGTAATAATAATGTATATGTTATTGATGGCGCAAATTAACTCCCTTTTTCGAGCTGGTGTGGGGTTTGATTTGCTAGGTAGTAAATTTTTTTTCCAGGTAGTAAATTTTTTCAGGAAATATTGCTGGACACCCTGCCAATAACTTTTTTATTTATCAATGGATTTTTTAAATTTCAAAACCATAGTTCTTAGAATTTACTCTATTTTCATTTAAGCCCTTTTTTAAGCAATTTGGATGAAAATTTAATTTTTCATTGTCATTGCTATAGAAAGACGCAAACTATTTTTAGGTATGGTGCCCATCTTGTTTTTAAACTTCAGACCAGGATATCCCTCCGATCACGTGACTACATCTAAGTATAGCCAACCGCATGGCACCAAAGATGGAAGTGTACGTTTAATCGCATGTTTGCTAGATCTAGTCTGGGGCTCTTTGGAAACGGAGTGCTTATTTATTGGCCCACAGGGGCATATAAAATTTCCCCTAGAACATTTATTATTTGCCCACAAAATTGCGAGTTATCCCCCCTCAAATCCACAAATGATAATTTTAAATGAAAATACTACAGCAAAATCCCCATTAAATATCAGAGAAATTATTTTACATTATAATTATACACTTCTCTAAGGATTAAATAAGTTAATATTATATTTTACACCTGAAAGTAAGTCAATTTCTACTATAATATTATGGAAGTATAGATCTTGAATGACTCCAAAACCAACAAGATCCCGAAAGATAACAAAAACTCATTTGTGTTATTAAGTAAGGATGCAGAATGCTAATAGTAATAGCCGTATTTATTATTTCTTATTTAATCTTAATATAATCAAAAACTATTAAAGCTAGAGAAAGAGAACGAAAAGTCCTCTCATCTTCAAAAATAGCTCTACAAATTAGTCCATCAATTTTAAATTGAGAATGTATAGTTTTCCAATCTAATGCTAAAAATAAAAAGATGAACAATAGCTAAGAAGTTAGAGAACAAGTTGGGACAAGACCATTATGAAATACTTTGAAAAACAACGCATTAAATGGCCCATGTGGGCCAATAAGCCCCAGCTTATTTGTAGGTAGCGTAAACACGGCCTCGCGAGCACTCGCGGCCTTCCGACCGCGTGGTATCGGTGAAATCGGGGTGATTCCGATCGCTGTTTCTTTGTTCTTTCGCTATAAAACACCAAGTGCCGTACACCTTGTAAAAGTTCAGCTTTTCCTCGTTACAATGGTGTAAGTTGTTTATATGTCCGATTATTAGAAGCTGGAGAGTCGCCGACGAAAGCGAGGCCCCTCGCGGTCGGAATGCGTGGTCGGCCGGTTGAAAAATTGACACGAGTGCATTCAAAGGCTTCGCTGAACGAGGAATGATTAAATGCCGTCTTTTCATTGGCGACGAACTGTAGAGCTTTAAACGGGCTTTCGCGTGGTATGTGTTTTGCCTTTGGCGTCTAAATAGAAAGCTTTTAAAAATACTGTCAAAATGTTTAAAGATCACTTTTTACCCATAATATGTAAAATACCGGCTTAAAAAATATATATAATAAAAGATCAGCTTATTTTCTATTAGAATAAAGTAATCAGCTTGGAATTATTTTACATCAATCCTTCCGTGAGACTCAGAAAGCATGTGACCCCGCACGCGGGGTACACTACAGTATAGAGCCAACTCGCTCGCCGCGGGGCCCGGTGCTGCGCCGGCGGGGTCAACGCTCGGTGTTTTTGTCGAAATAACGACAGAATATCGTGTTTGAGGCGATAAAGTACTGATTTGTAATGATCTCACAGTCTTGAAAAAAATTAGGCTCCATATATTTGTTATAGTGATTGTACTCTGTTAATGTGGAGATGTTTAGTGCTCTTGGTACTCTTTTATTGTCTGTCAAACATGGGGTTGCCGCCAGTGACTGACTTTAACAAATTTGATCAAATTTTAAACAGCTACCATTTTCTTAAAAATTGACTGAGAGGTTAAAGTATGGTACCAAAATGCTCAGTGGATATAGGCCTTTCAAATGGAACTGATACATTTGGCATACAACTACTTTGAAAATTTAGTTTCTGGTACCTATTATTTGCCAATGTGGGCCAATAAGAGCAAATTGGGCGGAAATTGCCTTCCTGTTTGTTCACACCTTACACAGAAGAAACAGAAATGGTTGCATTAGACAAAAGTGGCCATGTAGGCTAAGTGAACACTGCCATATTAGCCAGTAATATTTTTCTGCCTTTTTTTGTATTAAAAATTGGCCGGCTCTATTTCTTCAAACCTTCGGGGAAAATAAACTTGAACTCTATTTCTCTTAACGGTTTCCGTTCTCAAGATTTGTTGATAATAAGCGAATGGAGTGGCCCGTGTGTGTGTAAGGTGTGAACGGTTGGGGGGGGGGGGGGGGGGGGGCATGGAGGGATTTTAAAAGTAAGTACATCTAGTTGACTGTAGAATAGATTTTGAGCCGAGTTATCATCATGAGCAGTACTGGTCATTATGTTGATTGTCTTAAATAAAGACCATGAAAGGCTCCTTGCATCAGAACACAGGGCTGAAAAAATATTCCAGAACATAGAGTATAGAGGTAAAAGATTTAATTTCTGACTGCCATGTGCAAACTTTAACTCTAATACAGTACAAAGGTGTGGAGTTCTTGTCATTTTAAATTATAGTCAAGCATTTATTACGCCGCACAAGTTCAGAGTGGTATAAGGTAATCTAAATAGGATTTTCAGTAGATTATAATATGGAAAATATTTTACACATCTGCAGTAATAACTGTTATTTATACAGTGAGAGCTTAATTTTTGTCACATGTCCAGTGGGCAGGTTCTAAAAGAAACATTTCATCACTTACCTGTTCTTTTTGGGGGGGGGGGGGGAGGGCAGTAAAATGTTGAGCGTTTCCGATATATCACCAGCACTCAAACAGCTTCAGCTGCTTAAATTTTATCAAGATAATTGGTCATCTGCTGTATAAAATACAAGAAAGCCATTTCAGTAGGGATTTGGAATGTCAGTGGCAATGATTTCAGCCATTCCCTTCCTTATAAACCCTGAGCTATTATAAGCCTCAATTATGTTGGTGTTCGATGCACATGCATTACACCCTGCGCAGTCAAAATTAGAATGGCCATCTCATCTCTTAAACTTAATTGCTAAAGACACAACTTTGAAAGGTATGCCTCAGACTGAAGGCCTTCCTATTTTCTAAAATAAAAAAGTCATACTTTTATCATGCAAATGAACAACTAACAACTCATTATGAGAGCCAGGGATGAACCATATCCTCCAATGTCTGCTCGAAACATAAACACAGGGATGCCAAATCTCCAGCTTTTTCCGCTTTTTTCATACACTTGCAAAGGAAAGGGGAATGGTAAGAGAAATGGGGTTGTTGTTTTTTTGCTCATTTAAAGATTTACAAGGTTCGTTTTAGGTGAGATATGATGCTCCGCTCATTTTCAGGGGGTTTTTTTTCAAAAATCATTTGACGTCCCTGATAAACAAGACACTTGATGATGATGGTTAAATGAACAGAAATATGCAATGAATGCATCAATCCCTCCTCTTTTAACTCTTTTCATCAATCCTGAGCCATGAGGGCGAGATTTTTCTTTCATGCTGTTTGTTCTGTCATGGCAAAAGTTTTTCTCTTTGCGTGAGTCAAGAGGCATTATTTTACTTAGGTTTGACTTTGACTTATCCTTCTGTGACTATTTATATTAGGAGCTTGTTATTTGGGGGAGGGGGGTGCTTTGCTTTTGTGTGTGTGGTCTCTGTGAGCTTACCCTGTTGTTTTATAGCTTTGAACATAGAATGTAAACTGTATAGATTATTTTACAGACAGTTTAATTCTCCTCATTCTGTTTCTTTTGATGCATAGTGACTTGGAAAAGACTGGTGGCCACCTTGGACCTGTGCACATGCTGTCGAATATTGATTACCTGAGCCTCGATCCAGTGGATAAAAACACTGTCATGCATCCACAGCTCTTGCAGGCTTACAAATGGACAAACAAGGTCAGCAGACTATTGCTTTTTTGAGGGTGTTCGTTTATTATTTTTGCTTCTTTTTACCTCTAGTGGAGGTTCAGTTGCTGTGTTGCCTATTAATTTTCTGAAGTTTTTTTTTTTTTCAATGTGTTAGTTTGGGGGAAAACAAGAATATGTATGCTGAAACCAAATTACAAACTTTCCCTTCTTTCATATTTCTCTACCTGACTGTTGTCACAAATGTTAATTCTTTTACCTATCACTGCTATGTAAGATCCATTTCAATCACAAAGGTTACTATGCCTACTGTTTTACTGCATCCCACATTGAGTACATTCAGGATTACTTTTGTGTTGCTTAAATAATCAAGAAGTTGATAAAGACTTGGCTTTTTTTTTTTTTTTTTTTCAAAAGCAGTGGGCTAAGTGAACATTATGTTGTATTAATTATATTGTGTTTAATATTGTACTCCACAGATGCATGAGTTAGCAAATCAGGCTTTTACAGTCCTTAGTCAGAACTCACTGAAACGCACACAGTCTCCTTTTTTCACAAGTGCCAAGAAGCAAAAAGGCAGTCTTCCTGTGGCTTGTTTAGTCCCCCCAGTGTAAGTCTGCAAGGACCTTTCCTCTTTGCCTCATGAATTATACTGTAATTACAATATATATGAGTGTGGGACGGGGGCATACAACCTCAGTATAGTAAGAAAGTAAACGGTTAGTAGAAAAATGAAATCGCATTGTATTGTTGAGATTAAGTTTCCTTAATATAATTTTTGTCCACTTTGTGGGTTTTACATATCTTTTATTTCATCATACTTCCCAAAAGTTTATGAGAAATTCTGTCATACTCATTTCTCAAATTGTGTTTAGCACTTATGGAATTAAGCTGAATAAGTTCAAAACACTATATTTTAAGCATTGTAAATTTTGTCATGAAAGTAAAGAAGTTAACCAATTTTTTTCCATCTTTTCAATTGTATTCTGAGCATTTGATTTTTTTCAAATGAAATGTGGTAAAGGGCCTGTCTTTGATGTTCACTGCTGTGAACTTCAGAAAAGATGATAATGTTCTGAGTCTCATATGATGTAGCTGTGACTTATTTTTAATCAGAGCAGGTTGTTTGTTTGTTTTTTGGTATTGCAGGGCAGTGGACACCTTTGTGCATAATCTGGATCAGTCAAATGTGGACATGTCAATATCTATCTCAAGACCACTGGGCAGCTGTGGGGTCATGCAGGTTTGACAAAATGGCTATATAGGATTCACTTTTGTAGAAATCTCTGGAATGGGGTAAATAAGAAATGTTCCTGGACTATTCCATTGATGTTTGATGGAACTTACTGTTGTGTCCGCCTGACAGTATCACCCTCAAGGAACAACCTTTGGTTGCTGTTAGGTGGAGGTTGCCGCTGACTGAATTTTCGGGGAGGGGGGGGGGGGGGTGATCTCCCATCCATATGCACACCTACACACACACACAAGTCCTCATTGAGATTATTGCTGGATGTGGTGTTGTTAAGTCAGAAAGTGACAACATTGGCAAAGTCAACTTTCAAGAGAGCCGATGCTCATTGGCAGGGTGTCGGTGTTCTTCACAGTGGCCGAGACCTTTGCCCCTAGCTAGGAGACCCTTGAAGGAATTAGATCTTGGCGAGAGGGTGTGACCTGAGCTCCTGTACTCTTCATTGTATAATTTTTGGCCTTAGCAGTTGTTGTGAGGAGATAAATAAGCAAGGAAGGATGCATGCACAATGTGATTTTGCCTTTCTCTGTGATCACACTGTATTTAAAGGGTAAAAAAAATTTTGTGCAACACGTTTTATGGCAATGAAGGGTGCTTAAAGAGAAAAAGGTTGCTATTGATTGTTATTCATATAAGAAAATTCTGTTACACAAGCTTGGGTTTCTGTTAAGCGGAGGTTGCTCTTATCTTGTTGCTGTTAAGTGGACCCCACTGTACTTTCGATTTTGCTCTTAATGTTAGTTTTTGTTTTGGCTAACAATCCAGTAATCTTCAAAGTGATATCAGTAGTTCTGATGATCTGATTGTACAACTTGTTGAAAAATCTGCTAATTATTAGATATTCTAAAATTTGAGAAGTTATACTGGAACTTTTACTTTGACAAGTGCGCAAGTCAAAAAGGAAATAACTGCTGCAACGTTTTTGTTGCTACATCACACCGTCGATGATCAGCGTCCGGTGGGGGCAAAGTGTTAATGGGCCCCTATCTCTGCAGACCATACATTCTATATTCTTTAAAGATTGGTTTAATGATGACAATAATGTAATTCATTATGCTCAACATTAAAATAGTTTGATCATTTGAATTGAAAGTGATCTATCCCCTCAGTGTGGAGACACTTGCTCCTTGTTTTAAGGATAATTTTGCTCTAAGCAATTACTTTAATTTTTATTTAAACTAAAGTAACTTTTAAAAATATTTTTTGACCAGGATTTGATTAAAGATCATTAAGAAAATTGTCATACTTTTTATGGCTTTTTATTTTACTTTCCTCTGTGCGTTTGTTGATTTGAATTTTTATCTATTATCTTTCTAGATATAGCTGAGTGTTGTTATAGAAACGGTTCAATTGAATCAATGTACAACTTCTCTTTCAAAGTTTTCCTTTGTTCTCTGTAATTGACTCTGTAGTTGTAGTCGACTTACTTATGTTGTTAAAATGATCAGAGGATGACAGGGCCACGGGTATATTTCAAGTACGTAAGTAAAAAAAGTGAAAAGAAAATCTCTCAGAAAAGCCATTCATTACAGAGTGACACTGCAAGTTTCTCAATTAAGCTTCTTGGAGAGAGGCTCTTCATCTGATTGTCTCCTTCTCTGGAGATGAGAGAGAACTTGTTGGTTGTGGCTCTTGGTATGGTAATGGGAGTAGCCTAAAAACCAATAAGAATACATGTGCATATTCATTCCATTTTCTGTTAGATTGACGAATTAATATATATGTATAGCCAGTGCCTGCTCGTTGAGGGCTATGCTGACATAAGGTCTCCTCAATGTCACTTAATTCCACCGTTTTCTCGTGTGTCTGATCTCCAGATTGACCTGAAGCGTACACTCAGAGCCGTTGTCGTCTTGCGAGGTCTTATGATCGAATGGGTAAAAGTGAAAGGCTTTGATGAAACCTTCAAGACAGAGGATGGTCAGGTATGTCCTGTTGTTAAGCTTGTTTATTCTTTCTGTTGTTTTAATGTCGTGAACATAATGGTTTTTATGGTCATATCCTTGCTGTTGCAAGAAAAACGAGTTGCTCTTTTTAAATCTTATTTTACATTGTGAGTAATGAATGTTGAAGCTACTCATTTTTATCGCAACATTGAGGAGCAAGCATGTCAAAGTACAGAATGTGGAATGTGATATAAAATAGTTTTTCAGAATCTCTATTTCTGCATAGTTATTGGATCATGGAGTCATATCATGTGTTTTTGTTGACATTTTTGTTTTTCAATTTAAATATGATAAAATCAAACCAGGGATGATTATTTTTTCAAAATGCACGCCGTTGACAAAACATGACTACCCTGTTCAATTTTGCCTCTAGCACAGTGTTGGTCATTGCTAGCAATGGGGATGGCGTAGAGTGGAAGGCGCACTCGAGAACGATGGTCTTGTCAATCCTGACAGCGAGTTCGCAAGAAATTGTCATTTTTAATGAAAAGCACATTTTGAACTAATAAATATTGAAATTTTCTTTCTTCAAACTATTGAAAAAAATTAGGGTTGTTTTAAGTATGACTGAGTTGCATTCTAGAAAATATTAAGCGTCTTGCTGTATATGGTTTCTTTTTGTGTATGTGTTGAGATAAGTCCAAAATATTTTTTCAGCCAAGGTTGTAAAGTTGCAAGCTAGGGGAGTGGAGTTCAAAAGAAAAAAAATAATAAAAAATGCCATTATAAGTTCCTTGACTGTTTGTGTACGAAAGGCTATTCCACATTGTTGTAGGAAGCCCATTTTGTCAACACCTCAAAGTCAAAGTTCCCTATAATTCCACTCCTTTGTAACCTATTTGTGTAAAATAAAGAATAAAATGAATGCCTTGTGCATAAACACACAGTTTGATTTTAGATACTTTGGATTTGCTGGGGTTTCATATAAATGTTATGACTGTGACTATAAATGATAGCTGAACTTGCGTGCCATATACTAAGAGTTAATAACCATCACAGAAAGGTCAATTTGGGATCAGTGTAAACGCAAAAGGAAAACTGCATTTGATGGTATTAGGAAGCTAGCTTTTGCTAAAGTTAAAATTTCAGTTTGGACTATCTGTTAGTAGGAGCTTTTGGCAATATACATCCAGGAAAAGATGGCTTTGCGTATTAGCTGCATTTACAATGTCCTTAGATTTTAAAAATGTAATTTACCTTAATAAATGACATTCTTTTGTTTTCAGATTGATATTTGGTCTTCATCAAGGTATCAAGTGTTTCAGAAGGTAAGCATGTCTGATACGGATGCACATTTGTCTTGTTCACTTGTGCTAGTCGGTGACATCATCACCAACACTGCCATGGGTGGCTGCTGGGTGCTCTCGTGTGGTTTGCTCGTTCTTTCCTATCAAACACCTATCGTCCTGATCTCTCCTCCTCCTTTACCCCCCAGGGCGGTGCTACTAACTGAAATGTCTTTTGGCCATTCCCAAAGGGGGGACATTAACATGTTCTTATGCACAGTAGAATTGTAAATGGGCTGATATATCGATGTCATGCTCATAACTGTGTCTGAACTGCAACAGGGAACTGCTGCTTTTTCTTTCCTAATCCTTACTATCATCATTTTTTCCTCTACTTTTTTTGTATGTTTGTCACACTCTTGTGGCCTGCTATTTCCGGGGTGCTTTGATAGTCGAAACAGACTTTGTTCTGTTGAAGCAAAAGAGGTGAGCAGAGTAAGCCTGATTCCCTGTTAGGACTTCTCTGTTGACACATCCACCCATTGGCGCTCATATGACCTTATGCAGTTGAAAGCGCCGTAAAATCTGTACTAAAACAAAATCTCCTCCTTTTTTGTAGCAGCAGCGGCCTTAGAAAATGAATGATAATATTTTCTATCATATAACGTTTAAAGGTTTCAATGTTTGAAAGTTTGTACCCCCTGCTATGGGTTATGTCGATTGTGTGTGCCTTGTTAGATTGAATTTATGAAACTTCAAATGCAATGTGGTTTCAGCCCCAAGAATTTATTTATATCAAAAGAAATATAATATATTATGAAAGTGAATTGCTTCTCACAAACTTCCTTACTTCTCTTAGATCACAGATCATGCAGAGGCAGCATCTTTACACTACTATGCTCCTGCAAAGCCAGAAATCGCGATCAAGTCTTTTGTGGTAAGTTTGTTGTGTGTCTTTGCTCGTTGACACTTATAGGCACAAGCAGGCTATCCTTCATTTTGCCAAAGTTCTAATTTTGAAATCCAAATGGTCATTTGGTAGGGTACTTGGTGAATGCTCTGGTGTGGTTTACTCCTATGGAACACCTATGGACATTATCTCTCCTCCTTTTTATGTTTGTTACTTTCTAGTACCACTTCTAATCTTCAACACTCATATGACCTGTTTGTTTTGAAAAGTCATAAAACTCTTACTACCTTTCCCTTTACTAAATATCATTTGACAAGCTTATTTTTACAGGTCTATACTATATCAATTAAATATATACAATGATACAAAATTTTGTCACAGAAAGCAGAACAGCCTGGTTATGATTCTGACATAAAAATTATATTGTTTAAAAAGGATAGTTCACTTGTGCCTGTAAGTGCCCACATGCATCATTGAGTATGGAATTTAGTCTTCTCTGAAGCAGCCTCATTCCTCTTTTCCCTTCCTTCACAGAAGACTTTGCTTTTTTAGTGAAACGTATTCTACAAAGCATGTTTCATATCATGTTGGTAAAAAATTTTATTTAAATCAATAACCAAAAGTAGACTTTTTTAACAGGATAAAAATAGGATAACTCTAAGCCGTCGCTTTAATGAATCAGTATTTTCCTTCTCCTAAAGAATTTGCCCGGTGTCACTTTTAGATTTCATACCAAAAGAGGGCCCAGGCATAGTGTGTTCACTCTCTCCTCTCTCCCCCTTCCCCTGTCATGATAAAGAGTTAATTATATTCCATGTACTGGTGGTTCATCATATTTATCCCTTCTTCAGTCATTAATCATATCCATTAAATAGTATAAGTAAAGCATTAAAAGATAATTCAACTTTTTAAATCCCTATGTACTTTTTTACTTTCCCTCTGTTGTTTCTGTCTGACTTACTTTTTCCCAGCCCTAAAAGACCATTATATTCTGTCAATGTACTTCTCTTTATTCAAACAAACACAGTATCACAAACAGAAAATCCACACACTATTGCTGGTCACTACTGAGCATCTCCCTGTTTTTTAACTTTGGGGAGGGGGGGGGTTGCTCTGGTGTGGTTTGCTCTTCTTTCCTATCTTACAATGGTCGACTTTATCTCTCCTTTTTTGTGTTTGTTACTCTCTTGTAACACCTCTAATCTTCGACACCTGATTGTGTCGCAAATGCAGTAAAACACTTACTGAAACTAAACTTTGAACTAAGGGGATACGGTGTCACTTAAAGGCACACCCCAGTGACTATATTACCTTTCTATTATATATTAAAACATGTCAAAGACACTTGGGTGACATTGTTGTGAGCCTTAGCACACTAAACACTCCACCACTGGAGTTCCTTACAGCTGATGTGGGGAATTTATGTCTCCTTTTATCCATGCAGCTTTAAACTTAAACTGAACAGCGAACTCTCATTTTTTTAAATGTGGAATTGCAAGAAATGGCTCAATTCTAGAGTAGACTCTTTTTCATAAGGATACTTAGCAACCGAGAACTACAATTTTATAAACTTTAAGCTCAAAATCATGAAGATACGGCTCTGTCACGTTTTAAAGAATATTGAATGCTACCTTTATTTTGGTGGGGTGGCGGGGCAGTTAGTGCCCTTGTCTTCGAAGTGGAAAGTCCCGGTTCGAGCCTTGGTTCAGACACATAATTTTTTAGCCCCCTCCTGTCCAGCCAGCAGTAATGGGTACCTGACTTCGAGTTGGGGAAGTAAAGGTGGCATGGAAAGGAACTGGCCACCCTACCACAATATGCTGAAGGCCCAGGAAGTTGTCTCACTAACAAGGCAATCCGCAATGTCCCAATCAGATGCAGGAACAACATTACTTTATTTTACCTTCATTTTAGATTTGAGTTCTGAAGAGTGTTTTTTTTTCACTTTCTAAAAAGGTTGGTCCCACCAGAATTATATGTATAGTCTAGATGATTTTTTAAATTGTTGTCTATTTCCTGCGTTAAAATCATTTTTTGGTTGATGTTTATATCATTCTGTTTCCACAGCTATGGCTTGAAGGATTCTCGACACTGTTCTCTGCCCCTTGTCACAAATGTGGCAAACATTTACAGAACAACATGCCACCAACCTGGAGAGACTTCAGAAGCCGAGAACCATTTCATGATGTTTGTCGTATGTGAAATATTTTATGATGTGTGAGGTCTACTTGAGTTGTAGTGCTTGTGGGTGACATTAAGTGGCAGATTGGATGTGTATGAGCAAGGGTAGTTTTGGGTTGTTTTTTTTATTCTCACTTCCTTTTGAAGCACTTTCTTTGAGGTTGTCAAGTTGTATGCTTTAGCGGAGTGAGAAAAAGCATTGGTGACCAGGCTGAAACAACACCTGGACATGTTGGTGCATGGAGGCAACCATGATCCCAAGCAGTAGCCCAGGTTGCTCAGAGTATGTTAGTAAAATAGAGAACAAAGCATGATTGGACTACATTTTGCTTTCCGATGATAGGTTTATGGCCTTTACTTGCTTAGTTTTGTCTGCTTTTAAGCATTTTCAAACACAGTAGGATGACATCATATATTTTCCCTTGTGACCACGGGCGTTTTGTTAGCGACACTTGGAGGTTAGGTATCAGAATGGTATTTTGGATTGTCATATTTTCTTTGTAGGGAGTCAGTATTGTACAAATGATATGTACATTATAATTGACCTGTTTGTAGCATATGGCTCATTCAGTGTTTCTTTTAACAGGGGTTAGCGATGATGATTTTTGTTTTACCTTTTTAGAGGTAGCTTAAAATATTGCCAATACTCCCATCCATTCATCCTTATGACCAGGATTATCTCTATAGGAGAGGTAGTGTAAGATCTGAACTGTAAAGGACACATTGAGAAGATGTGAGCGTGCTGGTTTTGCATGTCGGATGTGAATGGTGAAATATGATTTACTAAGGGTAATCATTTTAACATATATGATGGTGAATGTTTAGAATAAATGAACTTTTGAAAAATGTAGGTTGGTGATGTATTATTTTTTAAAGTATAATTGTATATGTTGTATGTACCATTTATGTGTTTTTTTAGATGATCATCATGGCATGAGAAAACTTATTGATGTGAGAAATGAGATGAACCGATTGTCGTTTGCTATTGCAGACATATTTTTACTTGACATTAAAACTAATTTAAAAGATTTTTTGTATTAATTGCCTCTTATTTATGGTGTGGTTGTGTCAATAATTTTCAGGAGAATGTTTTGGCTATTTGTTTCTTTGCTGGCACTAAGTGTGCCTGTGTCTGAAATTGAAGACTTTTCTTTTAAAAAATGGGCTTCTTGGCGTAAAAGTTGTTCTCTTGATTTTTTTTCATTTCATTATTAAATTCTCTTGCGAATCCAGACTCCTTAAATGTACCACCTCATAAACTGACCTTAGTTCTTCAGTTTTGGCTGTGCTTGAGAGTAAGTACATTGTACTTGAGTTCCTGTCTAGCCCTGTAACTGTAAACAGGGCACGCTAATAGGTATATATATAAAGTTTAGTCTTTCCGGGGGGTTTTTCTCCTGGACTAAGATATACACATGCACAAATGGTTACTGCACAATAATTATTTTCTGTCATGATCCAGCACCCTTCTATATGGCTGTGAATGCTGGACAATCACTAAAGACAGTGAAATAAAATAGAAGCAACAGAAATGTGGTTTCTTGGGAGACTGCTAAGACTACTAAGAGTATCGTGGAAGGAAAAGAAATCAAATGAGGTACATGTAGTACTTGATGAAGCCCACGTGGACGCTCAATGTTAAAAACAATCAGGAAATGACAAGTGCAGTTTTTGGGACACATATAGACATAAGGGTCTTGGACATCTAACTCTCACTGGCAAAATTGAGGGTAGGCCCCGAACAACATACTTTGGGAACCTAAACAAATGGGTAAAGGGGAAAGATCAGGGAAACATAGCTTTTTTTTTAGAGCATCCAAGCAAAGGAATGAATGGAGAACCATGATCGCTGATGTCTGTCGTAGATCTGGCACTGGATGATGATGATCCAGCACTGAGGACTGATAACTTGCTCTTAATTATAATAATAATAATAAATTGCATTTTATTTTATAAAGACAGCGTAATTCCACCAGGAAAGTGCCCAATGCGCTTTTACAACAGTACGAAGGACAAAAGTATAGTTCCACCCCCCCTCTCTCTCTCTCTCTCTCTCTCTCTCTCTCTTTCTCTCTCTCTCTCCAGTTTTACTAACATTACATTGAGATTTAGTAAGGTTTTACGGGGCTCACAACTGCAGAAGGTCATATGAGCGTCAAGGGGTGGATGTCAACAGAGAAGTCTCTAACCTCAACGGCACAAAGTCTGCTTCGACTATCTAGTATAATCAAGGCACCCCGGAAATAGCTATTCACAAGATAGAGTGACAAACATACAAAAGAAGTAGAGGAAAAATTACGATAGAAAGGATAAGGAAATAAAAAGCAGCAGTTCCCCCTATGTTCTCTAGGCACACTATGAGCATGACATTGATAAATCAACCCATTTACAATTCTTCTACTGTGCATGTTACTATCCGCCGCCCCTCCCCCCCCCCCCCCCCCCTTTTTTTTTTTTGATCAAGACGGTAAAAAATGAAAAAGATGCCCCATCAAAACATGCGATTTTCAGTTTTTAAACACTGCTTGGGGACTCGTCTTATGTAAAACCATTCCACATCAGAGGTTTGAGTTTGTGTAAAGAGAAGCACCTCGACACGATAACGGCCATTAAGTGCAGAGAAGAAACAAGACGATGGACAAAAACAACAGAGGAAAAAAAGAAGGATCTTCCAGTTGCGCCCTTCTCCCACCCGCTTACACTACAGAACCAAAATACTAAAACGACCGGCGACTATAATATTTTGTTGTCCCCTCTTTGTTATGGTTTGAAAAAAAATGTACCGCTGGATTAATCAGACTTCTTGCTGGCAATTAAAATATTTTCGAAGGGTGTTTGCGAGACAAGCCGGTGTGACATCAATTGCAACCTTTATATTAATATTATACCAGAGACAAACTGTGTACATGATGCACTTTGTCATACTAACAGTTCAAAACATAGATAAACCTAGCTGTGTCTGAGTTACCACTATACACATGTACATAGTAGATGGATATCGTATACCCGGTACGTCATCGTGGTAAAATCAGACGCTTGATAGAGTCAAAATAGGGAAACTGAAAAGACATTCTTTTACGATGTATGGGTAATTTAAACTTTTTTTTACCTTTGATATCCATTTAAAGACACATTTCTGTGTGAATTCTACTGAAAAACGTTAATCAAGGGCACAGAAAATCCATAATATTATTACTTGCTATTTCCAAGGACTCTCAAGCCTTGGTTGGAAGTTACAAAACTCCTGAGGCCATTTGCTCGTCATTCTACCTTTGACACCAGGTGACCCCCACCTCATTCAATCGCAGATTAATTTAAATCCAAAGCAAGACAATCAAATACAGGCTTTAGGTTTATACCAATAACTTCATGTGCTCAAACATTGACGAGCGCCTGATTCTACCATATCGTGACACTTGCATAATATACTTTGAATCACGACTGGGATAATTTAATCATCACACGTGGTATTGCTGTGGCCAGACAGTCAAGGATAGTTAGCTGATGCGAGGCTCGAATTAGTACTGTTTGTTTTTGTGGGTGGGTGGGAGGGGGTTAATTGGTTGTTTGGATGGGGTTTTTAAGGGCTGTCAGAATAAAGGTCAAGAGACTCTTTGGCGACATAGCAGTTATCTCTGATTTTGATTCAACAGAGGGCATGTTCACGGTCTCTTGTCGGTTTGAGTTTGAGTGAGCCGAATGAAAATGTAAACTGCGCTCTCCGTGTATTACCAGAGAGTTTACAGTAATACTAGAGAGATGGCACTTCGCCCGGATGCGCGTATCTGGGTCACCAGCTGATCGTGGAGAAACGAGCGGTAAACAAAACAAACTGCGTCCATTGTTCAAGGCATTTTCGTTGATCACTGACAAGCATGGCTCCGGTTAGCACGAAATGTCAATGGTGTTCTGCTATAAAATGCACCTATCAAAATCAAAATATGAGTTTCTTTCGATTTCCAAAGGATGACGAATATATTTTGATGAATAGAAAAATATAGATCAAAATAATGACAATGTGATTGTGGTCCTACCAGACTCACACTCCATGCACAAACTCAACACACTTCAACTTTTTTATATCAACTATAAATTTGTTGTTTTTTTCCCTTTCTAACTGCCCAAATTTAGCTTGCATTCTACCACTGAAAGATAATAATATGTTACCTGAGTCTGCGAAAAGTTGTCTAAATAGTAAATACAAAGTGCCATCGCGGTTTTGCTACTTTCTTTGTCCGATTACCACCTTTTTTCGGGGGGGGGGGGGGGGGGGGGGATGGGGGAAAGGAAAGGTGTTAAAGATCCTATTACACTCTTTATCATTATTGCTTCATGTGCTTTTCCATGATCTGAAATTGTGAGAATTTAATATTGTGTGTGTGTGTGTGTTTGTGTGTGTGTGTGTGTGTGTGTGAGAGAGAGAGAGAGAGAGAGAGAGAGAGAGAGAGAGAGAGAGAGAGAGAGAGAGAGAGAGAGAGAGAGAGAGACAGATAGACAGACAAACAGACAAACAGACAGACAAACAGACAGACAGAAAGAAAAAAATAAAGAGACAGAGAAACAGATTGACAGACAGACAGAGCGAGAGAGGGGCGTACAGAAAAAGGGAGGCAGAGAGAGAAAGAGGGGGGGGGGGGAGAAAGAGACAGACAGACAGAACGAGAGAGAGAGAGAGAGAAAGAGAGAGACAGAGGGAGCGAGTGGGGAGAAAGCAAGGAGTTTACAGTTCTAAAGCTCCTTGTGAGAAAGAGAGACATGGAGAGAGAAAAAGAGACCGGGAAAAAAAAAGACAGACAGACAGACCGATAGAGAGGGAGAGAGAGATGACAGAGGGACGCTGGAGAACGAGTAGATTTACTGAAAATTAAACCGATTATACCTTTAATTGCGGGTATATTATTTTTTTCAGATCTATAGAGACGAAGTAATGTATCTGTGTCTATTTGTTTATTAGAATGTATGTTAACTTAAGCCAAAAACAAGTCTTACGCCTACAGTTTATGGCCGAGGGAGGCAGGGGGTTTCCTAAAATATGCGATAGAATTCACAGGCCTCCTTCTTTGTTAAAGGTAACTTAGTGAACTAAATAAGGTACTACATTTTCTTATGACATGACAGCATCCCTGAGCATCGCCGTAGCAGCGATCACCGCGCGTAAGTGTTTTCGCGCCGGGCGATACGCGAAACAATGCACTGTTGTTATGGAGCGCCGCCACGAGTGTCACCTCTCTATTACTGTAAACCCTCTCTGGTATTACTATACGTGTATTTAGTACGGAACTCAAACTGAAAAATCCTTTAAAATAACTTTTGTTGTTGTTGTCATTGTTGCCATGTTGGCTTTTTATGGTTACCACCTGTTGGCTGACAGTCCTCTTACTCATAGGAAGGAGCCGTCTGCTCAGTTATTATGTATTATTCAGACTGTAGCGATGGTGAGAATCCCAGATGGGACATTTATTATTTAAGCTCTGATGAGTTTTTAACGGTTCTTTTAAACATGATTGGTGGTTAGCGTGAGAAAAGAAAAGTGAGGGGGGGTCATTGTTTATCAGGCTTCAGTCTATCAATCTTGCCGTTTTTTCTTCCACAAAAAGACTGTCATTTGATCAGTGTGTTTGGCTTCTCTTTACTCATAGTATAGTAAAACCAACGGACATGATTGATCCTATATAGACAAGAAATTCAGTTGGATGTCTTTTCTCTTATAAATACCTATTGGATTTTTTAAAATGATAAAATAAAACAGTGACCATATCAGGACATACAAAAGATATAAATGAGTTCGATTCAGGAGCGGGGAAGTTTTATCTTGTCTCTCCGTCTTTCTGCTAGTATACTTTCTCCTAATCAGGATGGGTTTGCCATGATAGGTAGAGTCGAAGCAAAGGACCTCCAAAAGTATCTGAATTGTGTCTTTAGGGCTGCGAAGCATTTGTAATAATTTAACTCTTACAGGTCGGGACGTCTTCTGACTAGACCCTGCATTATTGTTGCATTTTGTTTTCCCAATTCACCTGAAATATTATCCACTTGCTTGTGCTTGGACTACAACGGCATCCTCAATATATAAAACTAAAATTTTCTTAAAACATTGGTAGCTAATACATGTACATGCATGTGGCTTGAACCTATCTTTTTAGGTTAAAAATGCTAACTTATTTATAAATAATAATATGATTTTAAACAAAACTTGTTGCGTCAAAGCAGGGAATGGGCCCTTGTAAGAGTTAACTGGCTGAGAACCATGGCTCAACATACAAAATGCACTTCTTCAAAGATTCTAGATATCCAACCCATCAAGTTTATTTGATAACAAACAAACGAGCATAATATTTCATAATGATAACAAGAGAAAACTAAGACTTATCGATGTTATCAAAAACCCTGCCGGCAATCGAGAAAACACGTGATCAGCTCATAGTTCATAGACAGACCGGTTAAAATAACACACCCCCAAGCAGAACTGCACTTGGCTCGGAGGATTTCCATCCAGATCTCAATGAGTACGTGCATCTGTTGAATAAATCACAATGCTGTCAATGAGATGTGTCCTGCTGGCGTTTATTTGTAGCACAAGCAGTTATGCACTACCCCGGACTCAGAGTGGCGATGTAAATCCGTATAGGAACTCAGGAAAAACAAAAGGTCAGCCATGGCCGATGCCTTTGTCGTATAAACCTACGCCAACCGTCATTCCTGTGAATGACATCGACTTTCAGTTTGTTAACCTGGGTGTCCATTGTGAGCTGCTGACTGATGCTTACAAGAGGTATGCAGATATCATCTTCGGGAGTCGTTCACGCCGGTAAGTGGCTTTTGGTGTAACAAGGATGGACAGCATCGTTTGTGTGTTTGTATATGTGTAAGTGTTGTGGGTACATGTGTGTGAGAGTGTGTGTTTTAGGAGATTATCGTTATAACACCCATAGTATCTGTTGTTTAGAGTTAGATCAGTCCAGTTGGCCTTTGTGTTTTGTCTAAATGAAAGCGCGCTGCCTGTTGATTCATGACATAGCATTCTCTACACATGTGGATCTACCAGTCTTTGTCCTCTCCTTCTTTTTGTTTTGTTTTGTTGGGGGGCACTCTTGTCCCTTCAAACCCCACCCCTTTCCCTCCCTCCTTCTCTCTCTCTCTCTCTCTCTCTCTCTCTCTCTCTCTCTCTCTCTCCCCAAACATAAACACACGCACACACACGCGCACATACAGCACACACATACTCACAAATTAGACTCATATACGCATAATACTTACACATACACACAAACAGACCCATACATACACACTCACATTGTCCCAATCTCTCTCCAAACAAACGTTGTGCTTAGTTGCTTTTTTTCGGGTGGGGGGGTGGGGGGTGGGGGCGTGTATTTGCTTGTTTCTGTTTTTTCTTCACAAATGCATCGCACATTGCCCAGCTTGAAAAACAGTAACATACCCTCACACATTCATATCAGAATCTTAGTAATATCTCTTGATGCGGTTTTGAACAAAATAGTGCAATAATGTAGCCTACATTGTAGAACAAAATGTACTTGCACGCCTATTACACGGTGTTCAAACCCGAATGTACCCAAGCCTGAAAGCTTCCTACCAGAAACCGAATCACGGCCTTGACGCTTTCATTTTCACATCGTTACGTTGTCGTTGCTGATTGAGAATTTGTTTTGAGTTTTGTCTTGAGTGGGGCTTATTTGTTTTAGCACCCACTCAGTTATCTTATTATATACATGTATTTAATCAACCTTCTCTCTCCAGCTCTTTGAAGTTCAAACCAGATCGAGATGTGGCTGGCGACTCCACTGTTAGTGTTCTTCAAGTGAACGCTATCTCCGGATGTCATGGGGGCCTCAGCATCGACTCGGATGAATCATGTAAGCCGCCACAGGTTGACGTGTTTGTGATAGCAAAGACCCTAGACTACGGAACTTAGAATCTTTGGTTTATTTAATATTAATTCCATAACAGGGGTTTTTAGAGACGGATTCTGTTCATAACTCGTTGCCAGTCCTCAGCTAGGTCCATCTTGAGGTATTCATACTGATGGTCTCCGTCAGTAGCATAACTGATTGCTGATTCTTCTAATTAATCTTCTCTCTCCAGCTTTTTGAAGTACCGAAGGCTCATAATAATACAGTATTAATTTTTTTTAAACTCGCAACTACCGCACTCGTTAAGAACGCTGAAGCCACTAGAAAAATTTTACAATTTTAAAAACCTTCGCAGTCCAATAAACACGCTTTAAAAAAACTCACCGAGTTTCATCAACCATTCAGCTATCGCATAGAGTTACTTCCTGTAGTATTTACTTCAGTGCAGTGGCTCAGTTAATTTTTTGAATGTGTTTTGTGTGCCTGGTCGAGTTGACGACTTAAAAGTCGCAAGCGGTAACGAGCGCATACTGCATACTACGGCCTTGGGGACAGAAGTCGCCGACGGTATCAAAATAGTAAGGCATCATGGTGAAATCAGGCGCTCGGTCAAAATAATGGAATCAAAGATACTGGCATTTTCCTGTCCATTTGGTAATTTTTATCAGATTTTTGTTTTTTGACTCAACACTTTTTAGGTCCATTTAAAAATACATTGCTGTGCATATTCTACAGGAAAAATGTTGATTTAAGGCACCAATAAATGTAAATTTTACAATTTCTAAGGACTCTCAAGCTTTGAAAGTCGTCAAACTTTGGCGCCATTTTCTAGCTCATTTCACCTCTGAAACCAGGCGAGTAGAATCGTTGTAGAAAGGGGATGGTGAGTAGTTATCGTTTGAATTGTGAAAAAATAGCTTGTCGTTCATGTCCTTGCTGGAATGCTCTTTAAAAGAAACTGTATTATTATCCTGGTCGTTTCCCCCTCCAACTATCTGTAAAGTTTTATTTTGTTTTGGGTTGTGGGTTTTTTTTTCAAATAGCTTGCTCTATCAAATTTGCCAGTGGCGGTTGAGCAGGTACTTTGATGTGGTCTGCTCCTTTTTCTCTCGTCACTATCAAACAGATATCGTCCTTATCTCTGCTCCTTCTTTTTGGTGTTTGTTACTCTCAGACAACATCTCTAATCTTCGGCACTTATATAACCTTATTGTGTTGCAAGTGTCGTTAAACCATTTCCTGAAACAAAAAACGTTTGCCATTTTTTTTTTCAGTGAGAGCAAGATGACAAAGGTTTTTATATTGATTCACGTGTCCCAGAAACTGCATTTATTATTTTGTCTCTTTGTAGTTGTTTTTGTTTGTTTGTTTGTTTTGTTTTGCTTTGTGGGTGTTGTTTTTAAATCAATGATCGACCCACATGTCATGCTGAATCGAGTCACCTTTCCCCTGCGTTGAATTATTCTGATAAAATCTTCTTCGAAGTCCGGGCCATCACCAGATTGGAGATTTGGAGTCGAATACAAACTCAAAACTTAGACTAAATAACTCCAATGCTTAATTAATACATGATGTATGTCTCAAAGTCCGACTTCAGGTACAATATCCAATACCCTGTTTATAATATGCAAATGAGGTTGTCGGTAACATTTTTTAAAGACAGGGATTGCGGAAGACGTAAAGGCTTGGGTTTTTTTGTAAACAATTTTTTGCATACATAATTTCCCCACAGACACCTTGTCCATCTCACCGGGCAAGGCTTTGTTGACTTCGAACGAGACATGGGGCGCGATCAAAGGCCTGGAGACCTTCAGCCAGCTCATCTATCAAACAAGTTCTGGACAGGTGGGATACCGGGCCCTTCCATTCACAACTTTATTTACTTCAATTTTTTTTTTAATAGATAGTATAAACAATGCATCGTCATTCTATTCTTTATTAGGGCATAATATTATTCCCTCACTTTATTTTTCAAGTATTATGTTTACGTTAGCCTCGCCTTCATATTTATTCTGTTAATAGCATGACATTTGATTATTTTTTCGAAAGCGTCAATGAAAAACTATCCAAGCTATCTGTGAATGTCAGTTTGTACCCTTGTATTACCAAAGACTTTATATTATTATAAACCTATGTATTGGCTCGCTGCCTGTCCAATACCCCAACTATCACAGTTTTAACGCTCATGGAGGATGAAGCTATTTTGCCTCTTTTACATTTATCATATATCATCAGAGTTGTTACTATTGTCATGGCCGTGGGTGCTGATTTTGGTTTTATATTT